CTCATGCTTCAGCAACACGCCTTCTCGGCCTGGCCTCCTGGGCCCGCCTTCCGACCCGCCCGCTAGGGTCTGCGCGCCTGGTCTGCCCGTCTGGTTCCACCACTTGTTTTCTGCTCCTTGCCCCCCTCTTGCTAATTTCTCACGTGCTCCATCCTTCTCCCTCCCCCTTCCGTCCGTCCTCTCTTTCCTGGTTTTAGGGGCTGCACTAAATCCAAGTGGCAGGTAAGCAAGACATGCCCTCGAGGGGGTACGATCGAAGAAGAAGAGTGCGGATACCGAGGGTCTGAGATATACGTGTTGCATGGCACGCGAGCAGATAGGAACGAACAGTCTTAAACATATTATTGTTTGTCGTTAGTTGTTGTTGTTGGTGATCGTGCTGGTAGCAACGGTGATGACGACGTCGACGATGATGACCATGATGACTACGACGATGATGCTCATGATGCTGATGATGGCGATATCTATGATCATGATGCTGATGCTGATGCTGATGATGATGATAGTGATGCTGGTGATGACGATTACGGCGATGACGATGATGATGAAGATTATGATGCTGATGATGATGGTGCTGCTGCTGATACTGATGCTGATGATGACGATGATCGTGATGGTGATGATGCTGCTGCTGCTGATGCTGACACTGATGATGATGATGATGCTGATGCTGATGCTGATGATGATGGTGATGATGATGCTGATGCTGATGATGGTGATGGTGATACTTGTGATGCTGACGACGATGATGAGGATGATGAGGATGATGATGATGATGCCGCTGCTGCTGATGGTGATGATGCTGATGCTGATGCTAATGCTGATGATGATGCTGCTGCTGATGCTGATACTGATGATGATGATGCTGATGCTGCTCGTCCTCCCCTCGTCCTCGTCCTTCCTTGTCCTCTCGTCCTCGTCCTATTGTCGGTCCTCGTCCTCCTCCCCTCGTCCTCGGCCTCCTCCAATAAGGGGACCATGACCAAGATGTCGCTGGATTTCGTCGATGTCGATCTTGGTCACGTTTCATGTCGGCCGTCGCCGTTTCGCGAGGATTTCCCACGAGTCGACGCTGACCAACATGCGACGCTGGCCAAGATGAGCACGGCATTTCTGCGTTCGGTCGTGGTCATGGTCCTCGTTTTCTTTCCCTCCTCTTTGGTCCCACACCTCAACCCGTCTATCCAGCCCCAGAAGCACGGGGCGGCTTTCGGCAGTGGCACGCGGCGACGGCCGCCGGGGCGGCCACGGTGAAGCGGTGGGAGAGAGGTGGTGCCGGCAACAACACCAGGGGTAGGCAGCAAGCTGCGGTGCGGCACGGCACTCTGACGGCAGCAGGCTGCGATGCTGCCATCTGCGCGAGGAGCTTCGCGCCAACACGCCGAAGGCGACTGTGCGGAGGCAGTCTGACTGGCACTGTGTCAGCTTAGTCGACCCTGCTGCAGAGGGGGTCGACAGCGATGGGTCGTTGTGGGTAGCTACCCTGCGTCGGTGGCCGACGCGCACGCGTCTGCACGGAGAGAGGTGGTTGTGTGCCCATCGATGTGCGGAAGGAGGAGCGCAGATAACAGAAGAGGAGGACAAGGAGGGAGGAGTGAGAAGGTGAAGTGCAAGTCGTCAGATCTGCTGTCGCTGCCCGCAGGGGTCAGTGGCGGCCGCTGCCCGCACACGTGAACATCAACCGCGCCGGTGGCCGCGGTGAAAGGGCCTGCGTGCAGCGGCCAGTCACGGGGCTGCGCTGGCGCCGTGCGCTGAGGTTTGGCGGCTCACCCCAGGAACCTCCACGGGGCCCAAACAATGCAGGCACGAGAGGGAAGAACACTGTTCTGGGGCCACCGGTGCTCTTCGGGAGCTCTTCTCGGGTTTCGCACCGTATAGCCCTTGTGGGCAGGACGCGGAGCGGCAGCTGGGGTGCGTCAAGGGCAGGCGACGAGGGGAGGGAGGTAGGTGAGAAAACAGGTCGGTGACCGCATGTGAACCCTGCCCCCACCCCCCACGATTTCTAAGGTCGCCCAACAGGGGCACAGAGTCACCAGTTTGAACGATCTGGTGACGCGGACGTTCTGGCAGGGCTGGCCTGTGGCGTTGAGTGGCGAGTCCGTGGCGCTCGCGAGCCAAGGACGAGCGGCTCTCGTCGGCTCGCGCCCCTCATCGTGGACCTCCCTGGCCTCCCGGGGCCCCCGTCCCGTGCCCGTCCCACAGGCGCGAGGAGGAGAAGGTCAGCGAGAGAAGTGGGCGGGTGCGAAGCGCGGGAAGTTGGCGGGTGAGGAGGGAGGGACAGGTTGGGAGAGGGCCCTTCAGAGGGTGGTGCCGGTGAAGCCGTCAGCGAAGGGCATCACGGACACCTGCCTTCCTGTCGCCGATCGGGATGCCGAGCTTCGCGCGATCGATGACCCTCTGGACTGGACGGTGTCGTGGGACTCGAATTGCGCATAGCCGTACACCTTAGGCGATGCTTAAGAAAACCTAAGTTTTCGGCCAGAGTCTCGATTATTCTTAACGTTTCAATGTAAATCCTAAGATTTTGATAGAAATGTCGGGTTCTTATTCAAGTTCTGAGACCATGAATTTCTGAACCCATGATTTCTTAACCATTTCGCGTGGTGTAGCCTCGAGATCTCCCAGAAGCATAGAGCTCGACTCTGACGAACTGGATGGACCCAAAGAGGCCGAAGGTGGCGTGGAGGCCCGTGTCGTCAACTCTCGGGTCGAGGTTCATGACCGTGAGGGCCGCCGGGCGGTCCTCCGCAGGCCGATGCGCGACGACTTGGACGCGTGGTGGCTCCTCTGCGCCGGTTGGCGACTGGCCCCCGGTGCTCCCGGTGTGGGAGAGGCGGCGGTCGTAGGAGGGGTCGTCGGTGTCCGAGAGGCGTCCGTCCTGCTGGGCAGTCGAGGCGGCACCCTCGGTGGGGCACACGGCCTGGGCGAGGCGCTGAGCCTCCGCCTGGTCGTCCCTGGCGGCAACCTCCGCCGTCTCCGTCTCCTCCACTCGGGGTGGCCAAGAGGGAGGTGGTGACTAGGGGGGGGGATGTAAATCATGGCGGGGGCCATGAGGTCTCCCCAGATATCATGGCGCCTCTTCCTGTTACATGACGTCCCCAGCTCCTCCCTGGGCCGCGCACATGCCGCCGGCCATGATTCGTGCCCCCCCTCTTGGGAGCCCGTGGTGTCGTAGGAGGCGGAGTCGCTGGTCTGGGCGGGGATCCGGATGACGGTGTACTGGGTGGTTGGGAGCCGGTGAACTCCTCGAGAGCGGCCTCGCAAGCGGTGATCCTCCTGCGCCGGGCGCCGGGCGGCTCTTGGCCCGAGCGCTGCAATCTCCGTGGTCTGGGGAGAACTGGTTGTAGGCGTTATTGCCGAAGTCGCCGATGGATCAGTGTGCCGCCTCGCACTCGGGCGACCGCCGCCTAGCCTAGGATGTGTGCTCTGGTGCTGACAACCGCCGGCGCTGGCAACCGCCGCGAGACGTCATTCCTCGTGGCAGTTCTTCGGGTGTGTGTGTGTGTGGTTGGAAAAAAAGTGTGCCGCCTCGCACTCGGGCAGCCCCCCGTAGCGTTGCACACGTCGACGTCGATGAGCGTCGCGGGCTCCTCGGCCGCCATCGCCGGGCGGCGCGCTTGGCCTGTCGCCCGTTGCGGGACCCCCACTCTGGTGTCGAGGACCTGGCCTTCCACCTCCTCCTCCTCCTGCTTCTCCTCCTTCTCCTCCTCCTCCTTCTCCTCCTCCTCCTCCTCCGTCCCTCCTCCTCCTCCTCCTCCTCCTCCTCCTCCTCCTCTCCTCCTCCTCCTCCTCCTCCTCCTCCTCCTCCTCCTCCTCCTCCTCCTCCTCCTCCTCCTCCTCCTCCTCCCCCTCACTCCTTCTGAGAGCGAGCCTCTGCCTGCTCTGAAGAGGGCGAGGAGCTTGTCACCTAAGGGGACCCCGTCGCTGACCTGTGGGGGGGCCAGTCCCAGCCTCCATGCAGTGAAAGAGAGGCCGTCTCCGCAGGGCCCCCCTGGGTGCGTTTGTGTGAACTGTCGGACTCTCTTTTTCTCTCCCTCTTTCTCTATTCCCCTTCGCTTGCGTGCAATCCTCCTCCTCCTCCTCCTCCTCCTCCTCCTCCTCCTACCTCGCCCTCCCCCTCCCCCACGAGGATCGGGCCGGACTAAAGGGGGGGCTACAACATCTGCTGCATGCAGCTGGTTTCCGCCCCGCCGCCGAGCCCATGCCTCGACACGTGGGCGCCTTTCGGCGCCCCGAGGCACCAGGAAAACCAGCTTCGTCAGCTGACTCTCTGCCCTACCCTTTGCTGTCCTACCCTTTCGCCCCCCGTGGAAAGAAGTGGGCTGATATTCCACGTCGTTTCGCCATGCACTGAACACTGACCCTGGCCTGCCTGCGCGCAGTACGCGACGCGGGCCCGCCTGCCTGCGCGCAGTGCGCCGCCCACCCCTGGACTGGGACCAGCCTGACGGTGCAGGGCGCGAGCGAGGCGCGAGCGAGCGAGCGGCGAGTCAGCGAGAACAGAAGAACCCCAAACCCTAATAACACGATGAAGACGTGACATCACTGAGGTCCCCGTCCTTGCATCAGGGATGATAAAGCTGGACGGCTTGCTTGATACATCTGCAAGAAAAGACCCCCCATCCCTGATGCTTTTGGCCCTCCAAACTTGGGTCCCCTCCTAAAGGGTGTAGGGGCCTTTTTTTGGTTACTCACCGGAGGAGAGCTGCCTGGGCATTCTTGGCGATCTCCTGGAGGCCTGCGGCCACGAGCCACGGAGCCGTGAGTCATTGCGAGGCCCGGGCAAGGAGCGGGTGCGATCGCCTCCTTGGAGCCCTCTCGGAACTCCTTCATCCCTCCTCATGCCTCCTCCTCCTCCCTCCTCCTCCTCCTCCTCCCTCCTCCTCCTCCTCCTCCTCCTCCTCCTCCTCCTCCTCCTCCTCCTCCTCCTCCTCCTCCTCCTCCTCCTCCTCCTCTTGGGCAAGGAGCGGTCAGGGGTCCTTTTCTGGCAACTCAACGAGGAGCTCGAGGACATGGACACGGACCTGTGAGCGTCGGGGGGCGCCGCTCGCGGGCCTGGGGAGCCGCCTCGCCAGCGGGGCCGCGGGGGCGCACCCCTGCGAGGCGGTGCGCGCCGGGCGGCTCTGCTCGCCGCCAGGGGAGAGAGGAGGAGGAGGAGGGCGGACGGAGGGAGGAGGAGTGAGGAGGGAGGCCTTCATCTTGTATGGCGGAAGGTCAGGAACGAGGAGACAGGGGCGGGAAAAGCAACTCCACAATGGACATCGAATCTCAATCTGAAATGCTGTTGGTCATCTGGGTCCTCCTCGAATCTCCTCCCTCGAGGGGTCCTTCTCGAGCCTCCTCCTCGTCGAGCATCGATCCTCGAATCTCCTGAGGGACCTCCTTACCCCCCGGGGGGCCCCTCGCCCGCAGCAGCGACACACAGGCTGAGCTCTCAGGCCGAATTCTCGAAAGAACTCCCCAGAGGATCAGAAGCCGCCAACAGGGAAGTTCTTCTGAAAAGCTTGATCCTCGAAGATTAAAGATGTACAGTCGGCGCGTATCAGAAGGATGCGCGGTAAGAATGCAATGGCCTTGGACGCCCATTTCGAAGCTTTTCGGGCGGGGAGCGGCTAACGAAAGTGGCCAAGGATGGGCCGAGGAGGAAGGACGCAAAGGTACCCTTGGGAAGGTTGCCCATCCTTACTAATTATGCGGGTTGGCTGTATCCTCAAAGATTGAAGATGTAGGCTCTTTTCCTCCCAAACGGGGGCTCTGCATCCGAATTGACGACTTCGGCTAAGACAACTGCATTGGTATACCATGTCAGCATGGCCCGCGCGGACCTGGGCCCATTGGGCGGTGCCCCCCAGGGTCCAGACTCCACCCAAGAAATCCGCGCGGATCTCCGAACATTTATACTGTGCCCGTGTATGTTAATGCCGATGCTTCGTCTTCGAAGGCTTTCGGTCCTCTGGGCCAATCCTCGACCGTCCTCCTCTCCCCGAGGGATCCAACTCGAGCCTCATCCTCCTCCTGATCCTCTTCCTCCATTCCTCCTCCTTATTGATAACTTCCCCCTGTCGCACCCCGAGGCCAGTTTTTAGGGCGGGCCGGGCATTTCGCCTGAGACTTCCTCACCATTTATGACTCTGAAGCTTAAAACGTGGCAACAGCTTTACAGATGAAGGGCGGGACGTTGTCAAAACGTGGCTCTCGCCTTAGCGCCGCGCACATTCATTCTGAAAATGGCAAGAGCTTCACGGATTGAGGGCGGTCGTTTTCAAAATGTGGTTCTGGCCTTAGCGCCGCGCACATTCGTTTTAAACATTTGCAAGAGCTTCACGGATTGAGGGCGGTTCCTTTTCAAAATGTGGCTCTCGCCTTCGCGCCGCACACATTCGTGCATCATCTTTTTTCCAGTATCTGCTTGAGGAACGGAGCCTGGCACAGGGCAGCTTTGGCAGGCGACAACGGCCTGCGGCAATAAAGACGTCTGGAGGCGACGGGCTGGCTTTGGGAGCCAGAAAGACTATAGAGCAGGTATGAAACGGAACTGTGCGATGCAAACTCGTTCAACAACGTACATGCATCATCTTTTTTCCAGTATCTGCTTGAGGAACGGAGCCTGGCACAGGGCAGCTTTGGCAGGCGACAACGGCCCATCTACAACAAAGCACAGTACCCATCAACAAGCATTGCACTGGCCTAGCCGTGAAGCAACATCCATTTTCTAGAAACCACCTTGGCGACAATTGTTTGCGAGAACATTCGAGCAAGCTGCTTACAGAGAGCGTCGGGATAGGCGGACTTTTGCTGAGTGCGAAAGTGGGTGGCACCGCTCTCCTTCCCAGACAGCTCGAGATGGGGCTGTCCTGAAAAATCACACACGCCGCGGCCATGACACTTCATAGCCAGAAGAGAAGGAGAGGGGCGACAATGCAGAAATTGGAGCCTAGTGCGCGCACGAAAGGGACGACCAGCAGCACATTGATCAACAACTGCTTCAGAGAAAGAGGGAGAGTGATGGCGACGTGCTCTGTCAGGAAAATGCCAAAGCCAACTGCTGCCAGGGTTCTCTTCACCGATAGGGATGCCAAACTTTGCTGCTAGCTGCCAGACCTGCCCCGCGCGGGAGGCAAGCAGGTTGCCAAGCTCAAGCTTGGCCTGATCGGCTGCAGCTAAGCCCGGCAAGCCAAAGACGTGTGCGCTGTCACGAGGGCGTCGAGGCATGCGGGATGCAGGGCCGCCTCGTCGCGCTTGCGAAAGCGACTCGCAAGGCGTGCCCATAAAAATGGCCTTGACTCTGCCGCTGGCGATCCAGCCGCGAAGCACGGCCCAAGGCGCAGGCTGGGCAAGATCAAACTCTTGCCCGTGAAGGACATCCCACTCAATAACAGCATGCCCAGCCTGTCGCAAGTGCAGCGCAAGGTTGCCGGAGCCACTGAAAAGGTCAATGAAAATGCGGGAATCATGTCCCCTGCTACTCATCACAGCTGAAGAGAGTACTACTTGCAGGCGGCGTCGAATCCAGCGGCCAAATGTTCGCACTCCAGCCGCTGGTGGGCTGGAATCGTTATCTTCTCGATCGCCACTCACGCGTGCTTGTCGTAGCGCTGCACGCTGTTGAAGGCGTGCCAGTTTCCGAGCTGCAGCTTCTCCATTAGCGTGCGGCTGGCCGTCAGGCGGTCGAGGATGTCGCCGCCTTGCCTGAGGCTGCAAAGCGTGCCTGCTAAACAGCTGGCTCGCACAGCCTCGAGCGCCTGGCCAAACCGCCGCAGGAAGAGGCTGTAGACGAAGTCCCACAGCGGGTGCCAGAAGCCCAGGCGGGGGTCGCGGAGGCGCACCAAGGCCCAAGCCAGGGCCTGCTGCCGCGGGGAGACACGCACAGCGGTGTGGTCCAGCTCGCCCGTCTTGCCTGGCTGCTGCAACTCTGTAACCGGCACCACTGATGACATGTGCAGGCGCTTCCAACCCGGCAGCGAGTGGGCGAGCTGCGGGAAGCACCTCTGCAAGGGCGCCAAGTGCAGCTGAGGGAGACCTCCAAGCACCGCGACGCCAAGCTTTGCAGTTGTCGCCCGCGCCACCTTCAGGTCGAAGGCCCACCGCAGGAGGTCGGTCAGCGCTGCGTCCCGAGTTGCCACGGGCCAGTCGGGCAGCACGTCCACCATGAGCCACCCTGCCAGCAGCAGCAACACCTTCAGGTAGAGCACCAGAGTGGACGGCTGCACCACGTTGGCTGCCAGCAAGCCCTGGCGGGGCAGCCAGCGGGCCTGTTCCGGGGCGGAAAGCGGCGGTGGCTGCGCTCTGCTCCTTGCGGATCCGCCACCACCAGCGGCTCGCTTCGGGGTCGGCGAAGCGCCTCCCACCTCTGGCAGGCTCGGCTGGCCGGCTGGCGGAGCAGACTGGAGCGTGCGGACCTCCTGCATGGCCACTGCCATTGTGACGCCTGAACTGGTCTTTGTGCTTGGGCCAAGACGGCTCCGTCCCAGACTGAAAACGTCTCGAAGGGCCATCTGCAGGGTTGAGCTCTGAGGGGATCCATCTGAACGTGACCTTGAGGTCGCAGGCGACCGATATGGCAAAGGAGCAGCGGCAGCCAGACAAGAGACCAAAGTCGGACGCACGACCCTTTTCATGGGCGCAGATCATCGACATGCTGTCACCCAAGCCCAGAAGACGATGCCCGTGACATCTCGAATTGCGAGAGGCGCGCCGCAGCCAGAGAAGCCCTGCTGAGCTTTCTAGCATGTGGATGGTACTTTGGCGCCTCCACTTGCATGCAACAGCCGTGACCCAGGTCGCTTCACGCAGCAGCTCAGAGCTCACCTCGGCGAAACCTGCCGCACGCCCAAGTAAGAGTGCGGCTGGGTCCGAGAGCTCGATGCTGTCGGCAGCCAGGGCAGCGCCCCGCGGGGCCACCAGTGAGGCGAGGGGCCCGCGAAAGCGCAGCTTCCCCGGCTGCCTGCCAGCGGCCTGCACTGCGCTCAAGGGCCAGTGCGCAGCGCAGACTCCCGCGCCCCACGGCGACGCGTCGAAGGCACCCGCCTCAGCGTGCCAGGGCCTCTTCATATCGGCGAACACCGTGGGCAACAGTGCGAGCACCCACCTGAGCTCGCGTCGGCAGCTGGGCCACAGCGGCTGCGCCCTGTCGTAGGTGGAGCGGATGAAGACGTAGACTGCACTGAGGAGGCTGAGCGCCTCACGGCGCAGCAACAGCAGCGCAACCGCGTGACCCGCGAGCCTCTCCAGCTGGCGCCCCGCGATACGTCTTCCCGGCTCCAGCAGGTGCGAGATACAACCATGCACTCTCCAAAACTTCTTGGGCGCGGGGCGCCACCTGGCGGCCTTCGCGTCCAGCGTGAAGCCGAGGAGGACGACATCCAGGTCAAGCGATGCCTTGACGCCCTCACTGGTGAACGAGTCGAGCATATCGTTGACCACCTGCAATGCCGTCTCGCGGCTGGTGCTAATGGCAGCAAAGTTGTCTATGTACAAGACCTTGGCTGCGGCTGAGCTGTCAGAGAGGCACGCCCCAGGCTGCTTGTCCACCAGCCACTGGTTGCTCGGAGAGACCGAAGCCAGCACATTCAGGTGGGCAGATTGCACAAAGTGGACGGCCCAGTTCCAACCCATGGGGACGACCCGCACGCGGAAGGCTATCCTGGGCCGAGCAGACAGCTCTGGCCCCAACGCCTCGCGCAGGCGGGCCGGCAGCATGCGGGTCGCCAGGCTCGGTAAGCAGAAGTAGTTTCTGGCCCAGGCCGGCAGCACGTACTGGTAGAAGCAGACCTCCACGTCGCCCGCAGCCAGGTGCACCTCCTCACCGGGCGTGCACTCCAAGCTGCTGAGGGCGTCGCCGGAGGCCAAGTGCGTGTACTCGGGCGTCCTGAAGTGGCAGTTCGCCCTCCTAGTGTCGAAGATGAGCCTCAGCTTGTCATCCTTGCGTGGCACGAAGAAGACGCCCGTCTCCTCCTTCAGTTCCAGCTCGTAGTCCAAAACTTCGACGATCCCCGCATCGTAGAGCTCGAGCAGGAACCGCCCGTAGTCAATGCCCCGCTGCGCCAGCTTACCGTCCACGTAACACGTGACGTCCGCCTCCTCCAGAGCAGCAGTAGCCTCCTGCTCCGAGCGCAATGACCCGTGCCCGGACTCCAGCGCCGACTGCAGGTGCGCGGGCAACAGCCGAACAAGATCGACACGCCCAGCACCGCCAGAAGGAAGAGAGACCCTCCCGCGCTGGTAGCCGGCTCTCGCCCCGATCGCTGGCTCGTCAGCATAGCCAGGTCGAAGCCCCAGAAGCGCCTGAAACGCCTCCTGGTTGGTGCAATCTTCAGTCCTCGGCGGGACCGCGGCGTAGACCCCCTTCAGATGCTGTAGCGCGGAGCGCTGCGCCAAGCTGAGGTGGCCGCTGCCGCCCGCCGACCGCCCACCACCACCCAGCTCGTTGAGCGCCAAGACTCCTTCCAGCATCCAGCGCTCCTGGCGCCTGCAGCGAGCGGCTTTGCGCCGCTGCCCCAGCGAGAGCTCGCCGTCAAGGGCAGAGAACCCCTTCAAGCACTGGAGCGCCTCCGAGTTGAGCGGGATAGGCAGCGCGTCTCTCTGCGTGAGACCGTCATCGCCAAAACCCAGCGAGGGGGCATCGCCGTTCAGCACGCCTCGCCTCCCCTGCAAACTCGCGCCGAGGTCGGGGGACCCCTCGGCGCGAGGGGACGCCTCAGGCGCCACGGCCGCACCCGCGGCCGTATGCCTTGGCCTTGGCACCCGCCGCTGGTTCGCCAGAGGCCGCACCGCGCTCGGCGCCGCGCTCCAGCAGCCTTTCCTCTCGCCCCTTCTTGCGCTCCTTGAGGATGGCGCATCCCTCTCGGAGCATCGTCGCCACCCAGCTCTCCCCGGCGGCGCAGACAAGACAAGCGCCGAGCCGCGGCTCCTGCCCTGCCCGAGGAAATTGGGTCGCCCATCGAGCCAGGGCGCAGCGTCCTGACCAGCCTCACCCTCGCGCCAGCTCGACGCATACGGCTCCTCCCAGAGCTGGTCGCGGCGGCAGCGGGTCTCCACCACCACCAGCTCGCAAGCGTCGAGCCGGTCCTCGGTGGTGAGCTCCTGCAGCACCTCCAACGTGAAGTGGTGGTCGTCCATGCCCGAGTCCAATGCTGTGAGCCCCTGGATTGACCTCGACCAGCACTGCCTCTGCCGCGGCATGTAGTCCGCCTCCAAGATCTTCTCGAGCAGCACGGCCGCGGTCCTCGGCCCCTTGCAGCGCCCGTTCGCGACGGGCGTGGTGGACATCTTGGCCAGAGCGTCATGGAGCAACCTGGAGCGGCCGCCCGATGGCAAGTAGAGCACTGGCAACGCGGGAAGGCCCCCACCGCTGCCGGACAGCGCGGCCGCCCCTGCCTCCAGGATGTTGGCCACGGCGACCGCGAGCGAGAGGCCCGAACCCCGCAGCATGTACCCGCGACCGCCAAGCACGACCTGCGGCTGGCCACCAGCTCCAAGGGGCTCGGGCGAGATACGAGTCCCCGCCGTGGAGCCCCCCCGCGTCCCTGTTGCAAGCCAGACCGCGTCCGCCGGTGGCGCCGCGAGCCGCGGCGGTGCTGGGGCAAGGAGAGGGCCTGCCGCCGGAGGCCCAGGCGACGCGGCCGGCGCGGCCGCCAGGGCGCCAGCCCCAACCGCGGCTCCAGCCGCTGGCCCAGCGGGCCACGCGGCGGCCAGCAACGCCGCAGGGGACGGCGCCTCCGCAAGTGCCTCCGCCTCGCCGTCGGCGCACGCCCCTGTGTGTGCTGCTGGTGCAGGCGAGCCATCCTCCTCACGAATGTTCGCTGCCATCGGCGCCGCCTCGTTGCATAGCGATGGCAGCACATCGCTGAGCCGAGCGCTGCCCGCCCGCGGGATCTGCCCCTGCGGCCTCCGAACAGGAAGGCCACCCCGAGCTCCCAGCGGCAGCCGAAGGAGCGATTGGGACATGTTCTTATCATAGATGTCCCGAGGCGCGGTGAGCACCCCGAAGCGGAAGTCCTGAACACGTGCCAGCATGATCTTTTCATGCCAGAAGTCATCGCGCAGCTCGTAGTAATCGAGGGCCCTCGACCCCACTTGACGGCTCTGCAGGCAGTGCCGCGTGCGCTCTGCTAAGCTGCGGGCCGCCATCCAATCCTGACCTCAACGGGCGTGCGGTCCTCTTCCACACGGCGCCTGCTGTCGCTGCTGAGAGCACACCCGCGAGCAGCCCTACGACGAAAATGCCCCACGCGAACGGCGGCTCGGGGCACTGCAGCGGCGGACAGCTTGGGCACACAGGACAGGTGAGCTGCTCTGGTCCGCAGCGCTCCAGCTGTCGACCCAGGAGGCCCACGATATCGCTGCTGACCTGGCAATCGGCTATGCAATGGCAGTCGGGGCAGCGGGCGACTGAAAGAAGAGGGGCCCAAGGAGCGATAGCCTGCAATCCTCGCAGGGCCAAGTCCATTGAGCCAGAAAGACTATAGAGCAGGTATGAAACGGAACTGTGCGATGCAAACTCGTTCAACAACGTACATTTTTATGAATTACAAAAGTTACTCACGGATTCCCATGATCAACGTACCAGAGAAGGCGTTTTGGAAGGATTCTGGATTATGCGGGCGCAACAGTTATGTTGGATTCGCGGTGTTGAGGTCCCAAAAACGGCGTTCTCTCACGATTCCGGATCGTCAAGACGCAGCAGTCATGGTGATACGTGGCGCTGAAATCCCGAGAACTATGTTTTGGCACGCTTAAGGATATTCAAACGGTTTTCCAAAGAAACAGTTCCCTCAATGGAAATGAACCGTTGTAGGGGCCTACGAAGAGGGAGCTTGGAAAGACGGTAAATTCCAACATCGTTGATGACTCTTGGGTTTACACTGGTCCTCCTCCTCCTCCTCCTCCTCCTCCTCCTCCTCCTCCTCCTCCTCTCTCGAGAGAGGTCACCCTCGAACCGGGAATCTCCTTCTCCTTCTCCTCCTTCTCCTCCTCCAGCTCCTCCTCCTCCTCCTCGAACCTGGACCCTCCAACCTCTTCCTCCTCCTCGTCCTCCTCCTCCTCCTCCTCATCATCACCATCATATTATTATTCTTCCTCCTCCTCCTGCTCCTCCTGTAAAACGAAACCGGGACCAGGACGAAATCGGGAATCCCTGTGATCTGGCGGTTCTGGAGGACATATCAGGCGTCGCGGCCGCTCCAGAAGATTGGGAACGCTCGTAGAGCGCTCCGGAACGCTCTGGAACATTTCATCGCGGTCCTAGCTGGGGAAGCCGAAAAATACAGATACCGCTACTCCCAGGACCTCACCCGGGGTGCGTCCTGACCAGAAATTCGAAGCGAATACAGCCGTGGCGACGAGGGCCTCCCAGGAGGAAGGCGAACGCGATTGAAGGGTGGCGGTATCGGTACCATTTCCTCCTCTGTCTAGCCCTGCCCGATCTTCCCCCCGCCCCAATCCCCGGACAGGGTCCCTCGCCCGCAGCATCGATTTGTCCTGGCCCTAGTCCCGCCCGATCTCCCCCCTCTCCCTCCCGCGATGGGGCCCCCCTCCTAGTCCCCCCGAGTAGTCACCCTCGAACCTCTTCCAGAGAGGTCCCCCTTGAATATCCTACTCGAACCTGGAGCCTCGATCCTCAAGCCTCCTCCTCCTCCTCCTCCTCCTCCTCCTCCTCCTCCTCCTCCTTCCCTCCTTCCCTCCTTGACCCTCCCGCCCCCTCCTCGAACCTCGCTCCTCGAAGCTCCTTCCCCCCCTCCACCCCCCTCGCGTGGGGCCCCTCGCCCGCAGCAGCGACAGGTTGAATTCTCGGAGGAAGCCGGCGTACCGCACGCCCGGCCCTGGATCCGTCGGCGGCGCGCCGCCCTGGGCCACTCGCTGCGACCTCGCGGCCCCGCCCAGCCGCCGCCGGCCACCCCTCTCGAGGGAGGATCGGCAGGCGAGGATCGAGATCGAGGAGAGGAAACGAGGAGGGTCGAGGGTCGAGGGGGCCGAGGACGAACGAGTGGAGGAGGATCTCCTCCTTCTCCTCCTCCTCCTCCTCCTCCTCCTCCGCCTCCTGGAGCATGTCTTCAACGGGTATGTGGTGCCCTTGTTCAAGTGGTTGCGGGTTTTCTTGGGTGCATGCTCCCATTGAGCCTCAGGGTTAGCAAAACAGTCCAACACAGTCGTCCTCCTCCTTCTCGACCCTCTCCGCCTCTTCTTCTTCTTCTTCTTCCTCCTCCTCCTCCTCCTCCTCCAACCTCCTCCTCCTCCTCCATCCTGCTTCCTTGTATGTAAGTTGCGCCTCCCTGTCGCACCCCTGAACGGGTCGGTAGGGCGGTCCGAGCGTATCGCATGAGACTTCCTCACCATTTACGACCCTGAAACGGGACAATTGCAACAATTTCAAAGATAGAGGGCGGGACGTTTTTTCAATACAGCTCTCGCCTTAGCGCCGCTTGCACTCACATTGATAACAGCTTCAAGGGTGGAAGGGAGTGGCCTTTGAATTGTGGCTATCCGCCTTAGAGCCGCACATCGTAAAGATGTGCAACGGCTACAAAGATGGAGGGCGGCTCCTTATCAAAATGTCGCTCTCGCCTCAGCGCCACGCACACGCGCTTTTTTTGTAAAGGCGACAGCTTCAGGGATGGAGGGGGCCGCTTTCAAAATCAAAATGTGGCTCTCGTCTCATCACCGCGAACATTCGTTTGACAAGTTTGCAGCTGTTTCAGGGATGCAGGGATACACAGGGTGGCAAGTTTCAAAATGCGGCTCTCGCCTCAACGCCACCCACATTCGTTTTACCATGCTACATTCGCTTGAGCAGTCGAGCCCGGAAATGGATGAGACGCCGCGCCAGCTGAATCGACACAGAGAAGGAGAAGTACGAGGAGGAGGAGGAAGAACAGAAAGAATACATATATGTGTATATATATATATACAAGACTGCATTGGCGCTTCGCGCCATGCACCTTGGTCCTTCAACCCTTGCGCGCGTCGGCGTCTAGCGCGGCCCTCCACGGTCTTTGAACCGCGGCCGGTTCGCGCCCAGTTCCCGGACCTGCACCTTACTTGCTCGCGCCCTCGCTCTGCTGGTCCGCGCGCCACTGGGACTCCATGAGAATGTCCCAGCGGACCGATCAGCGGCGATGAGAGCGGCCGTGGAGGCTCCGGAAAGACAAAACGTCGGACAGAAGGGGCGGGAAAGAAGCGGAGGACGATTTGGGGAGGCGCGGCGAAGGGAGGAATATCACGAGGTAAGGTAAGGTAAGGCACGCATTGCAGGAATTGCAAACCCGCGTAGTGCTGCGTGCTTTGAGGTGCCTCGCGTCGAAGTGGGTCCTGTCCCAGAGCTCTCCGCAGCGCGTGCAGGAGAAGAGGTCTTGCTTCGGACGGCCGTCAGTGGCGCACGCCTTGCACGTCCGAGTGGATCGGTGCAGCTGGCAAGGGCTGAAGTGAGTTCGATCGTGCATGTCCCCGCAACGAGTGCATTGATAGTCTTTGTGTTGGGGGGCTGACCGTGACTGTGTTTCCCGTCGACTGGCACACGACTTGCAAGCCCGATTGGACTGCTGAAGTTGTGTTGTGGAGAATGATTCTGCAGGCAGGGTCTCGCCACAATCGGAGCAAGCGAATACAGACATCGAGGATGTGCCGTATGCGACAGCTTAAAAATGTAAGCCAACGGCTACGGATGCATGTGTGCGAACACGTGTGGAAAACAATGTTTCCTTAATAACTTGGAAGGGCCCTCGTGAAACCTCCATGGAACGATTATTCTGGGATGCGATAGGGCATAGGGCAGCAAGCATGCAGGCAACGTACCGGATCCTGGAAATGCTCAGGACATCTACCGAATTCCGGGGAAATGTGCCGAATCCCGGGTTCGCAGCCGATTTCCCGGGAATTTGGTTGCGAACCCGGGATTTCAAGCATTTTGGTGTTTTGCGTGGGATGCCACTGTCTGGCAAACAACGGAGCAGCGCAGCGAAGCCGTTCCGGAGGTGGCGGTCAAGTGGGGCGATTGAGCAGTTTTGAAGCCTCTTGGGGGGCCGTTTTGGCTGCCTTTTGGAGAGCCATTTTGGGGCCTCGTGGGTTCTTTTTGGGAGTCCTCGGGGCCTTTGGAAGCCTCTTGGGGCCTCTTGGGGCCCTCCTGGGGCCTCCTGGGGCCCACTTGGGGCGGAAAGTTAGATGTTTGAACTTTTGATCGCCCTGTGGGGGCTCGTTTGAAGCTTTCTCGGGGCCCTCTTGGGCCTTCTTGGGCGCCTCTTGGGCTGTTTCGGGGCGCTCCAGAGCCGTCTTGGGGCCGTGTTGGGGCCGTTTTGGGGGCCCCCCGGGCCATCTTGGGGCGCTCTTGAGGGCCTCTAGTTCTGTCTTGGAGCGTCGGAAAGCTAAAATGGCGAGAAAGCAGAAAACATCGAAAAACACATTGGAAAATTGACCATTTCGGCCTCCCGGGGCCGTCTTGGGAGGCTTCTTTGGGGCCGCTTGGGGCGTCTTGGGGGCTCCTGAGGCTGTCTTGGGGCTATCTTTGGCGTCTTGGAGCGCTTTGTGCCTGTCTTGGAGCGCTCTTGAGGCACTCGGGACCGCTTCAATGGGCGTCCGGAGGGTCCCAAAGCCCCAGGATCCCTGGAGTCCGGTTTGGGGGGGGGGGGGGGTGCGGGGTTTTGCGGCCGCCCGGGCTTGTAAAAATATAGGAAGAGGAATAGAAACAACAACATAGGGTGAATGAGCGGGGCCAAATGGAGTGAAATGGCTCGACGTTGTGAGGTGGCCATGGGGTTCTGAAGACAGACGCCCACCCCTCGAAACGAGCGGTTGCACCCAAGAAGTCCCACCAACCTGGGCGCGGACGGGCCCACGGAACACCTCCCTCCGCCCGCAGCCCAAAGCCCGACGTCGTGACGCCTTTTCGCCACGTCGAGCCCTGGACCCCTCGACCCCCCTCCCCCCCCACTCTTCCCGGAGGCAGCGTTCCGTCCCAGAACAAGTTCTGGCGGCCCCAGGGCCCTGGAAAGGGCCCCCGCAGGCCGAACCCTGCCAAAAACGTTCCCGTCGTGATGTCTGGAGAGGGGAGGGGGAGAGGAGGGGGGAGGACCGAGGCTCGAGAGAGAGGCGGACGGGGGAGCGAGGATCAGGGACCGAGGAAGGGCGAGGAGGATCCG